AGATTATAGAGAGTAGTGCAGGCACATCACTTGGTGAGAAATTCAGGTTTTAGGATTTTTAGTGTGTAGTGGATGGAAGCAAGATGGAGGGCACAGGGTGTCATCCTGGGTTTCTTCTTCATGCTTCTTCTTTCTTCTTCTTCATGGGTTTGGGTGGCATTTTGTAATTGGGTGGAAAAATCGGCATTGTGGGCTCTTTGGGACCAGTTATTGGGTTAAAAGGGAAAATAATCCAGGTGTCAGTTCTTAATTGAATAGTTTATCTTTAAAAGACCTTGTACCTAGAGATTGCTGGCCATTTTTGCGCTGCGTTGAGCCTGGTGTGGACAGGGTGCAAAAATTCAGATAAGATAATAAACAAGAACCTGAAGACTGAAAAAATCCAGTGGGTCTCTCTTTCCTTACACAAGACCACTCCAGGAGGCTCTCCACAGACAGGGGAGACCCCTGGGAGGGCCCAGCCTGAGCCCCAGAATTCAGGGAATCAGCAACAGATACCCTGGCAAAGGGGTGTAATGGGATGGGCTTTAAGGTCCCTTTAAATCCAAACTTTCTGTGCTGATCCCAAGATCTGGGAGCTCTCCCTTCTGCCCTGGTGGCACCTAAAGCCGTGCCCCAGTGGCTGCCTGGGAGTGGCTCTGTGATCCGTGAGTCGCTGAGCACTCATGGGAAGAGATCCCACAGATTATCTCCTTCCACATCGGAAACATTCCACTTATTTTTATCCTCTGTTTCCTGCCTGCCAGCCAGTTAATTATCCCACAGAGGACTTTCTCTGCCAGTCTTTTTCGGGAGGGAAACTTGGCGAGTGCTGCCTGAATGTCCTTGTCCATTTAAATGAGAAGAGTGGAGTCAATTTTAGTACCTTCTGGAGAAAAAGACTTTTTTCTGGGTTTTTTCCCCTTTTTTTTTTTGGGGGGGGGGTTGTTTGGTTTTGGTTTTTGGTTTTTGGGGGTTTTTTGTTTGGTTTTTTTGGGGTTTTTTTGTGAGGCTGTGGTTGTTTTTCCGTGTTTGTGCCAAGCTGCCAGTAACAGTTTTCCTGCCTGGATCTTCTCTTCTATGATGCACATGCAGGCAGCTTTCTCTGCAGGGGGAGGATGAAGAGGATGCCCTTGCACTCCAGAATATCCATGGATGGACACCAGGGCTCGCTCCAGACCTGCACGTCCAGGGCTGGGGCCATCCCTGTGCTCTCCTCATCATCAGCCTCCTTCATGGACGTCCTTGAGGAAGCATTTAAAAATGCAAACCATTTTTGTTGCCGTGGCAACCCCTCTTCTGGAAATGGGGATAACGCTCCCAGAGGTCAGAGCTGCCCACTGAGAGGTGCTGGGTGCTGGTGGCAGCAGCACAGGGCCCCTCTCCCAGGCCCCCAGAGCTGCAGCTGGTCGAGATCACTGGATTGATCCCAGTTTATGGAGTCTGTTTTCATGGAGATACACGGGGAAAGCTGGGTTGTCCTCTTTGGATGCTGGCTTTTGGCAGTCAAAGATGGATTCTGGAATTGCGTGATTGAAGGGGTCAGGGAGGGACTGAGTGTTTCAACACCTCCAGAAGGCCATGCCAAACGAGATGGGTGCTTTGTAATAAACACATCACCCCTGCAGTCTCTGTGTCCTGAACTGAAATGGCCTCTGGATCAAACCCCAGGGAAAGGCTGCCAGGGTTGTCATTGTGCTGCTGGAATTGCCCTCCTGGCTCTCACCTTTATGGGATGGTGTGTAAGAGCTGAAATGAGGGATGTGGGACTCCAGGGGCTCTCCAAAATGCAGTTTATTGTATCCAAGATGTCCCAGCAACCCAGGGTTGTGGGTGACAGAGCTGTGCCCACAGCTGTCAGCTCCAGCTGACAGCAGGCAGGCCTGGAGACCCTTTGGTTTTGGTTACAATGCATTATATACTTCTCTTTTGGTTACAGTGCATTATATAATTTTCTTTTGGTTACAAATGCATTATATACTTTTCTTTGCTGAGCATCTTAACACAGTAGAACCAATCTATACCTTAACTTTTACCTATAGCCTATCATAACTACTGTAACTACCATATTCATGTTACTGTCCTCCAATCACTAAAAGTCAGCACATTACAGTTTAAGCCAGAAGCTGTTTTTCAGTTTTCTTGCAGTGGAAAATTCTGAGACCTTTTTTCTACTTGCAACACTTGCTGACTTGTTTGCCTGTGCTATCCTTCTGCTTGGTAAAAACATCTTCTTGTTTGGGATGGGTTTATCCTTTGCTCTAAGCCATAAAAATCCCTTCTAACTAACACACCCTTTGGCTCCTTGGTTGTCCAGCAAGACTGGCTCAGCAATTGTTTTCTTCTGCATCAAAACTTGCTTTCATTTCTATTTCTTCTTCAGATTCTACATTCAAAAATCTTTCTGCCAATCATACATATCTGTGAGACTTTCTTGTCAAACTTTCATCCTTCCCAACAATGGTGTCTCCTCGTCTGGGCATTGCTTTAGGCTGGGGTGATCTCTGTTTATCTTTAAAACCATCAAAAAAAGCAGGACAAGCTGCTTTCTTCTCTGAGGCACCTCAAACATTTGGGGCTTCTCTCCTCCATGCTGACTACTGTATCACCTCCTAACAAGACAGTTTTCCTAGTTCAGGTTGGTGGAAATTCCCATAAAGCTGGAGAATGGCATCAGGCCTCAACTCATAATTGATTTGGCTTCCGTCTCTCACGGGGCTTCACCAGACATTTAATGCACCAAAATTTTGCCTGGGGCAGCTCCTTCCCGTCTCCAGGAATCACTTCCAGCCTGCTGTGATGCCGAGGCAGAGGCAGGCAGAGCCTGGAAGGCGCCCAAGCACTCACACCTTGGCAGGTTGGGGAGCGTGGGTGAATCACGGCGCTGGGCCTGGCCGTGGGAGGTGAGGCACAAAACCCTCCTGCTCCTTCCTCTGCAGCACCCAGGGAGCTCCTGCAGACACTGTGGGCATCTCCAAAGGCTCAGCAGCTCCCTTTGGCCTCCAGGGTGCTGAATTGTTCTCTCTGTGTCCAGTGGGAATTCCTGCTGGGAGCTGTGAGTGCTTGGGAGGTGCCTGAGGAAGGAGCTGCCTCTGAGATGCTTCTGGGGTGGCAGCACACACGTCCCACAATGAATTCCTGGGAAATTCTCTCTCAGGACATTTGGATCTGCTTGTTCTTGAGTGAAACCTCCTGTCCTGTGCTGTCCAGCCATGCCCTTATCCCTGCCCTTTCCCAAGGGATGGCTGCAGAGGCCCTGAGGGCTCACACGGATTTGTCCTTGGCGGCTTTTTTGGCCACATTCTGTGTTGGAACCCTGGCTGCTGAGAATTTCAGGCTTTCTGTGCTGACAGGTGCTGACCCCAAAGAGAACACTACATTTGACCTGAGGCCATGGAGAAGGCTTCCAAAATTGAATGATAGAACTAAAATTATGGGTGTGGAGTTTGAATAGAAGTGTGTGATATCACAAGGTGTTTAAGGGTTTAGAATATAGCAATACAGAAAAAGCAAGATGGCAGAGGTTAGTCCTTCCTCTTCTTCTTCTTCACCTTCTTCTTTACATTCTTTGCCTTCTTCTTCACTTTCTTCTCCATGGGTTTGGGTGGTTTTGTGTAATTGGATAAAAAAGTCCCCATTGTGGGGCATGGGTGGTTGGTTACTGGGCTAAAATTGAGTAATAGCACTGGGATTGTGGGTGTGGAGTTTGAATAGAAATGTGTAACATCACATGGTGGAAAACTTAGAGTTTAAGGCTTTAGAATATGGTAATAAATATATAAAGCAAGATGGAGGTTTAAGGGCAGAGGTTAGTCCTTCATGTTCTCCTTCTTCTTCACCTTCTTCTTCATCTTCTTCTTCACCTTCTTCTCCACGGGTTTGGGTGGTTTTGTGTAATTGGATAAAAAGGTCCCCATTGCAGGGCACAGGTGGTTGGTTATTGGGTTAAAAGTAAAAATAATTTAGGTGTCATTTCTTAATTGGACAGTTTATCCTTAAAAGAAGCAAAGACTCAACAGTTCTGGATGACGTCTGTGGGCTTTAACCAATGTCTCTGTGGTTAAATACACCCCTATTCGGTGTCACCATTCAGTCTGGGAGGGTTTGGGGTGAGGAATTCTTGTTCTGTGGGAATCACACAATCATTGAAGCTGGAAAAGCCCTCCAAGTCCACAAAGTCCAGCCCAGCACTGCCAAATCCACCACCAAACCACGTCCCCAGGTGTCACATCCACACATTCTCGGACACCAATCAGCAGTGCTGCTGACTTCCAAACAGTCAAGATTCCTGTTTTTTCTCCGTGAAACACATGATTCTCTTTTCCTTGCTGGTTTTCTCTTGGCAGCAGCAATCTGTGTTATTGCTTGTCACTGCCAGCATGGGGGAGATTTGGTTTGACTTTTAGCAGAGTTTTGGATGTGTTCTGATTTGGATGGGGTGACCTTGGCTCTGCCAGAGATGATCTTCACACAAAAAAACACATCTTTGAGCGCTTGAGTCTGAATGGGGCCCATTAATTAATTCTCTGTTTATAGACCCAGCTTCAGGCTCATTTTTAAAAAGCAAAAAGCTCATTAATGGGGAATTTTCTTGCCCAAATAATCACTGACTCCTACACAGAGGTGTTGCCACCCACAGCCAAAGCCATGGACTGGTGTCCAGTTTGAGCCTCTACCCCTGGTTTTGGCTCCTCTGGCCTCCTCCTCAGACAGAAGGACTGATTTTAGTCAAGGTGAGTTGTGTCACTGTTTTGAACAAGTGAAAAACTCAATAAAAAATCTAACTGATATCACAAGCTTGAGCAGGTGGAGCCAAAATGCATTTCATTGATAAGGAATTTACTTATTTTCCTTTCCAATGAAGAAGGGAGCCAACCTGAGCATTGCTGCAGAAATTTCAGGTGGGCTGGAAGCACTATGAACAACAGGATGTGTTCAGAGGTGAACAGAAGCGCTCAGGGACTCAGTTTGGAACCGACTTCATTAATGGAGCTGACTTCATTAATATCTTTCCTAATCAGCTGGGCTCACATGGAGGAGAACATGGATCACTTCTGCAGCTGAGGCTGTGGAGAGCACAGGACGGAGAGGACCTGGATGTCCCACAGGGAGGATGGAGCGGCCTTGGGGCCCGTCAGGAGAAGCAGAGCGAGGTGATGTCATGCAGGGTAGTGTGCTTGCATCTTTTATCTGCCAACAACATCTCTTTAATCCCTATGAATAAAACTTGGCCCATTTGCTGCACTCTGGTCCGTGTGAATGGCCACAGGAACAGGAAGAAGCTGATTGCAGGATGGCTGCAGGCACAGGAGGATGTTGCTAGGGCAGTGCTGGGAGATGGATTTAGCAGACAGGGAGGTTCTGCTAAAGCCTCCCTTTGAGGCTTTGGCTACAACTTGTCCAGCAAACAGCTTGTGGAGAACAGCTGGAAGAGGTGTGGAGGAGCACAGGGGGATGCTGGAATTGGAAAGCCGATTGTGGGTACAGTCTGAGAACCCATCAGTGATGCCATGGGAGCAGTGCCCTGGTGTAAGGGCACCCTGGGGCAGGCTGGAGGCTGGCAGGGAGGAGCTGATTGCATTTTGCTGGTTTTCCTTTGCCAGCCTGGCTGACATCCGTGCCCACACCTGTCTGCCCGCACCGACATCTCCTCCAGCCATCTCCGCTGGCTCCAACCTCTCTCCAAACCTGGAATCTCCCTGCTCCCTCCCTTCCCAGCTTGCCACACAGGAGCATCATTAGGGCTGCCTGGGCAAGGGAATTATCCTGCTGGTTTTTGTGGAGTTGGGGTAATGCTGGAGTAATTAATTCGTGTAACTCAGTGCTCCCAGTGCCAGGAGTAATGCTGGAGCATCCCTGCACTGGTGGGGTTGCTCTCTGCAGGAGGTTCAGGACTGCTCACCCTTTGCCTCTGGGGTGAGAAGTGCACTCTCAGCAGCGCTTGGCAATTCCCTCTGCCCCGTGGGCTTTCCCACAAAGTGGGAAATTGTGATTCCCACAATTGTCATTCCCACAATTGCGATTCCTGTTGCTTCCGAGTGCTTGGGGGGAGGGTCTAATTTTTGCAACATGCAGGCACCAGATATTGTGTTCAGCTCAAAGGTGGTAATGTAAATCTCTTTTTTTGCACTGGGGTTATTACCTTAATCAAATATTCATTTACAGCACACGTTGGCAAATTCAGGCTTGACATAAAGCAATTCACTCCTGGTGTGTAGTGTTTAATGGGATTATTCTTCTAAGTAACTGAGCCTCCTTTGCCCACATTGTTGTGGCTGCCCCTGGATCCCTGGAAGTGCCCAAGGCAAGGCTGGACAAGGCTTGGAGCAAGTTGGGATAGTGAAACCTGTGGATAGTGGGGTGATTTTTAAGGTTTCTTCCAACCCAGACCGTGCTGTGATTCCATGATCCAGTCTGAGATGGGAGGATCAGGATGTAGCTGGGTCTGTGTGGCCATGGACACATCCAGACAGAGAACTTCAGGCACTGGGAGAGGCAGAAGCAGCAGGAGCCTTTTTTCTTAGGAAAACGTTCACTAGCAGCTTCTGGAAGCAAGTGGGGGATTGCTCCAGGATACACAGTTAAAGGATGCACTGCTCCAAATCACAGATTATTCCTCTGTTCAAGGCAGGGCATGGGGGAAAAACCCCAATAATTGCAATCTGCCCTGGATGGATAAAGTGCCTGTACAGTCATCAGGTCATGAGTTTTAGGAGGCCTTATGTTTATCCCTTCAGGTCCTAACCCAGGAGAGCAGAAGGAAACCTGCTGGCAATGGCAGTGTCTGGGTTCTGTGCTTGGGGTGACACAGCTGCACAGATGTGGTCAGCCTGCATGCCAAGGCACAGGGATGAGGGGAAAGCTGCATTTCCTGAGCTCTCCCTAGCCTGTGCTTGCTCTTAAGCCCATCTCCTGACCATGCATCCCTTCCTCCTTGCCACAGGATCATGGGGAGATAACATTTCCCTGCAGGGAAGCTGACTGATGTCCCCATGTGTTGCTGACTGAGCTGGGTGGTTTGTGGCTTCCCCATGCTCAGGAATTTTGGTCTCACCCCAGTTCATGTGCCAAAGATGCTCTCCATGGCCTCATCTTCATCTTCTCCCTCTCCCTGGCACTGTGAGCAACAGAGAGCACATCCCTTGGATAATCTGGTGCTCTCTCAGCGACGGGTCCAGCATGTGGAACAGCACCAGGATAATCTGGATGAGTCCCCAAGGACACAGAGGGACAGAGCTGCTGTTGGCAGCCAGGCACCTCTTCCCACACTGCTCCTGTGCCACGTGGACACTGCTTCTCCAATTTCCCAGCTGAAGGGGAAGTGCCACAGCAGTGCTGCATGCAGAGGAGCAGCCTTGTGACCATGACACATCCCATTAGTCAGCTCGCAGGGAGGGCAGGAGAGGTTTGCAGGAGGATTTCAGCTCCATGGGAGCTGGACAGTGGTGGAGAGCAGGGATTAGGTCATGGAGACACGATCCCACTCTGGCTGCACTTATTCTCCACGGTGCTGACTAATGTGTGGTAAAGGATCCAGCAGGAATCCTGGCCCCAGTGTGTGCTTTTCCATGGCCTCCCAGGCTGGTGGGCACCACCACAAAGCACCACAGTGTTCCAGGGACTTGGCAGTGAATTCTCACCCTTGGTCTCCAGGAACTTGGCAGTGAATTCTCACCCTTGGTCTCCTCGCTGGACACTTTGGCCCATATCCCTTCCTGAGGTTCCTCACCCTGCTGCCAGGGGCATTTCTGAGAGTTGTAGGTTGCACCCCCTGTGTCATTCCCACCAGGTGAAGGTGGTTCCTTTGTGCCTTTCCTTTTCCCTCATTTTCTTCAGTGACTGCTCAGAGCTGAGGTTTTGAGGGTGGTGGAGGAGAGGAGGCAGCAGCAGAGTGCAAACTGATTTGTGCTGTCCCACTTCTCTTGCCCAAGAGCATTCCTGTAGGGAACTGCTCCACAGAGGAGTCTGCAGGACTGGTGCCTTGTGGGATGGGAGGGAATTGTCTGACCGTGTATAGGGAAGCAATATAACAGGGAATAAAGCAGGGAACAAGGCTGATTCCAGGTCCAGATGAATGGTGAAATTACGGAATGCAAGACACAAGGCCATGGAAAATGTTCATCCTGAGCCCCAGCAGCTGAGCTGCTGTCTTAGGGTGGAAGATGTGGCTGGGGGTGTGTGTTCTATTGCCATCTGTTAGAGGTGGGGCAGTTTTCTCTTCTCTTCTCTTCTCTTCTCTTCTCTTCTCTTCTCTTCTCTTCTCTTCTCTTCTCTTCTCTTCATTGGGCAGTTTTCTTTATCTCTCCCACAAACCAGTCCTCCCTCGGGGAAAGATCTTGTGTTCATGGGCCATTGAGTGTCACTGCTTGACTGTTAGAATTCCATCATCCCATTGGGAGAAGCTGCGCCCAGGGGGAGGAGCCAAGCATTCCTTCCTGGATATAATCTGACAGTTGGAACACCACAGCACCTTTCCCACTGGATTCCCAGAGGAGTGGCCCTTTCCCACTGGATTCCCAGAGAAAGATCAGACCAATCTACACCACCACTGGATCTTTAGAGGAAAACTCCACCCTTTACAGGATCACTGCTCCAGCAGAACCACACCTGTCTCTGCAGGAGGACTGCAGCCACCCTTTAATGGGACTGCTACCAGCAACCTGACACACGGGGAGTCAGGCCATATTCTCACTCTGTCACTGTTGTTTTGTATTACTGCTTTGGTTTGGGTTTTTTTTTTTCCTTTCCTAATAAAGAACTGCTATCCCTGCTCACATATCTTTGCCTGAGAGCCCCTTAATTTCAAACCTATAACAGTTCGGAGGCAGGGGGTTCACATTTTCCATTTCAGGGGAGGCTCCTGCCTTCCTTAGCAGACACCTCTCTTTTCAAACCAAGGCAGCTGCCAAGCAGGAAAAGCCCATGCCAGGCTCTCACAGCTCTCCCTTGCTCTGCCTGTTGGGATTGCTGCCTCCAGCCTTTGGCTTCCAGCTGGGATGTTCTCCCCAGTAGACCTGACGTCTCTGCTGTGAGTTTATCCAGCTGTTATCAGCAGATGCCCTTCCTTGGTGACTCATGCCCTGCTCCCTGACCACATCCCCTTCTCCCATTGCCCCCACCCACTACAACTGAGTCACTTGGCCTCCTGCCACAAGCCAGGAGCTCTCCCTCCAGACATGGAGACACTTCTGGCCCACCCTGATGTAAGTGAGGCTCCTCCTGAGTTGCTTTTCCCAGGCAGGCTCTGGAGTGGGAATTTGCTGCCTCATTACCAGGCTGGCCCTGGCCTGCACACTGCCCAGACTACACTCTTTTTGTCCCTTAGTGCATTCTCCACAGGGACCAGTCCAGCCCTGTGGTACTGGGAGTCACCCAACAGCCCAGCACTCCAGCCTTGGCTGGTTTGTGTTTCAGGTGGGACTTGTGAAGGTGGGAGCTGTGAAAACTCAGTGCTGAAAAACCTTTCCTACCTTCTGACCATCCTGGAGCTGCAGGAAGACACTTTCTGATGTTATCCCATAAAAGCAGCATTTTCAGCTGCTAAAGGAGGGAATTTTAGCATGAGAGGAACATTGAAAATCAAGGGGTCTATTTCTTTGCACCCAATTTAGGGCTATCCCTGTGCATCTCTACCCCATTAAAAGTTGGTGAAATTTCATCTTCCCAGTCTCTTTTTGAAGCCCTGTGGTGGAACTTCCTGGCATGGGATGGCCACACTGAATACAAACATCACCCTCTCTGCACAGCAATAAAACAAAGCAAGGTTATTTCTCACGTGGCTGTGTCTGATCTGGAGAAAGAGGAGCTGCCAAAATCCACCCCCCAACCCTTTCCTTGGAGCAGGAGCCTGGTGTGTGTGCAATCCTGGGCTGGCAGGAGCTGGATCAGACCTTGCTTTAGTCATCCTGAGTGAGCAGGCACAGCCCCTGCCTCTGCTGAGGTCAGGCCCGGTGAAGGGGGAAGATGGATATCAGCTCTGCAGCCTGGAATGTGATAACATCCCTGCACACCCACCCAGATCCTGCAGGCAAGCCTGGGAGCCCCGGGCTCTTTCTTGTCCAGACAGGATTGTTGTTCCTCCCGAGGTGGGCTGGCTCCTGCCCCTGTCCCCTCCCTCAGGGATACAGAGCTTCCTGCAGGAAAGCTCTGCCAGGGCACAGAGATGGAGCTCAGTTGCCCAAGCAGCCTCCCCAGTGGCTCATCTTGTTCTGGGAGCCCCAGTTAGGAGCACTGGACTTGCATGGATGCCTTGTGCTGTCCCTGATTGATGCCAGAAGGAAATCTTCCTGATGGAAGCACCTTTCCATTGGGAAAGAGAGTTTCCATCTGTCTTTCCCACATCTGCCTCATCTGGTTGGTGCTGACATGCTCCCTTCCCTACCTCCCTCTTCCTCCTCCTTCTCCATGATTTTCTAGTCCATCCATAGCTCCATCTCCCTCTGCTTGGATCTCCCATTTCACCTTTCCAACGCCCTGCTGCATCCCAGAGGATTGAGCTCCTTTCCTGGCTGTCGCCGACATCTTTTATGAAAAATCTTTTCCTCAAGATTTTTCTTCTTGAGAAGCTGAGAGGCCTCAGAAACAAAATGTAAACATTGATTATCTGCTGCTGTGGAAATCAACAGGTGGATCTGTGATTGGCCCATGTTGGTTGTTTCTAATTAATGGCCAATCACAGCTGGCTCGGACAGAAAGCCGAGCCACAAACCTTTGTTATTCTTTACTATTCTATTCTTAGCTAGCCTTCTGATGTAATCCTTTCTTCTATTATTTTAGTGTAGTTTCAATGTAATATCATCATAAAATAATAAATCAAGCCTTCTGAAACATGGAGTCTCTTCCCTGATCCAAGAACCCCTGTGAACACCCTCACACCTGGCAGCTCTCCCTGTGGGTTTGGCTGCTCCCTGGGCCTGGAAGGGCTCTGCAGATGTGTGTAGACTCCTCCTCCTCACTGCTGCCAGAAACCACCGCAGGAAAGGACAGGATAAATGCACTGCTTTGGTTTCCTGATGGAGCAGGACAGGGCAGTATCCCTCCCAAAAGCAGCTGTTTAGCTCCAGAAACTACACAAGGTGACACAGGAGTAGGATTGTTCCAGGATTTTTGGAGGCTGGATGGCAGTGCAGTTGTGGTGAAGCAAACATTGCTCAGAAATGTTCTTGTTTTCCTGGTGGGTTTTGTTTTTCCCCTCTTTCTCCTCAGCTTCCTGTGGAATTAAGTGCTGCAGGCTCCAGAGGCTCTGCTTGCTCCCAGGATTGCCTTTCCCAGGAGTGGATTCTGGAATGACCCCTGAGCTCAAGTCCGTTTGGTGGCTGCTGCAGTTTGCTGGAGGGGTTTCTTCCCAAATTCTCACCCCTGTTACCATCAGGGGACAACACAGAAGAGAACAGTGAGGGCCACAGAGTGACAAAATCACCTGAGCCATTCAGCTGCCCTGGGTCTCAAAGCAGCTGAGCCACTTGTGATTCACCCAGGACCATAAATCTCATTTTCTCTGTCCCCACCTGGTGCTGTGACCTCTCCTGAGCTCCCTGCTCACCCTGCATGCCCTGGAGAGAGGAGGGAATGCACGTGGAGGGATGCTCCACACTGAGGGGTCTCCAGAAAGGCACATCCCAGCACCACCGGGCTGACCCCGGCACTGCTGCACCTGGCTGGCACTCCAGGTGGGGAAAGAGGGACAGAATGCAGGGGAAAAGGCTGGGAATACTGCATCCCTCATTGCTGCTGCTTGTGACGTGGCAGGAAGAAGGAATTTACAGCCCAGTGCTGCACGGCTCAGTGAGAAACAGAGCTACAGAAATACAGGAATACAGAAATACAGGAATACAGAAATAATACAGGAATACAGAAATAATACAGAAATAATACAGAAATAATACAGAAATATTACAGAAATATTACAGAAATATTACAGAAATACAGATATAATACAGAAATACAGGAATACAGAAAAACAGAAATACAAGAATGCAGGAATGAAGGAATACAGGAACAATACGGGAATACAGCAATATAGAAATGCAGAAATACAGAAATAATATGGAAATAATACAGAAATAATACAGAAATATTACAGAAATACAGATATAACACAGAAATACAGATATAACATAGAAGTACAGTAATACAGAAATACAGAAATACAGAAATAAAGGAATACAGAAATACAGGAATACAGAAAAACAGAAATGCAGGAATGAAGGAATACAGGAATAATACAGGAATACAGCAATATAGAAATGCAGGAATACAGGAATACAGGAATACAGGAATACAGAAATACAGGAATAGAGAAATAGAGAAATACAGGAATACAGAAATACAGAAGTACAGAAATACAGTAATACGTGAATGATACAGAAATAATACAGAAATGATACAGAAATACAGGAATACAGAAATACAGGAATAATACAGAAATACAAGAATACAGAAATACAGAAATAACACAGAAATAATACAGAAATACAGGAATAATACAGAAATACGAATATACAGGAATACAGGAATAGAGGCTGGTTGGGGAATGGATGGAGAGCAGCCCTGAGGAGAAGGACTGGCTAAGAAGCTCAGCAGGACCCAGCCTTTGCAGCCCAGAAAATCCCCATGCCCTGGGCTGATCCCACAGCCTAGGCAGCAGGAAAGGGGGAATTCTCTCCCTGTGCCCTGCTCAGGTGAGACCCCACCTGCAGAGCTGTGTCCAGCCCTGGGGTCAAAGCAGGAGGATGTGGAGCTACCCTAGAGCTCCAAGGGCTGGAACCAGGCTGGGAGAGCTGGGAATGTTCAACTGGAGAAGGCTCCAGGGAGAGCTCAGAGCCCCT